GGGGTGATTATTAAAGATGCGTGTTAGCAACTGGCTTATTTTATATAAGGGTGCCTTACATTATATATAAGCAAATATTTAAAATTAATATATCATATTTTTAAGGAAAAGGAATGTGGACATTTTCACGTAATCGTATTACAATTCTACGTCAGGGAAATTTGTAGCAAATCCACGATTATGTTATATGTTTAAATCTATTTCAATTTGTTTTCATTCATCCGTTTTTACGTTGTCCTTATTGACGGAAACTGATGTGCTGTACTTTTACGCACGAAAAATTAGACACATGAATCAGCTTAAAATTAGCAACGTATCCACACTTTTGTTGCTTTGAAATGTGCTACTATACCGGAATGCGTGTACCATTCAAATCATTCATCAGATCAGTTGCACATTTAGTCATTTACTTTACAAAATGTGACATTTATGGTACGATTTACGGCTTACACATGGGTGGCGAAGTAATTATATAGTTGTTTTTTCTTCTAACGATTTGTATATGCAATTTTTTGGCATTTGGAATGTTAAAAGAGATTAAGCATGTTAAAAATGCCCCAAACGTATCAATTAGTGAATAAGAACAAGGGCATTCAATTCATGATAAGACAAACATTTTAGGATGAATAGACCATAGGTTACTTTATTTCTTTTCACTTGTATTATTTTACTAAATTCAACTGATGTTTCAATTGAGTCAAGAACATCTTGTACCGAAGGATACTTTCTGAACATCTCTACGTTGGAGGATACATAACAAAATGTTATTTCATTAAAAGGAAGAGCGGTGAGTAGGGGAGCAAAAGATGTTAACTCATTATATATCGTTCGTCCTTATGCATGGGAGAACTTCAAAATCAATCCACTTTTAATCAAAAACAAATGTGCATAAAATTGTTAATTCAAAGGTTCAGATAATCGCTTAATTACATACTATAATAATAATGGGAGTAATGCTAAGGATAATGAAAAGTATTACTAGTACTTCAGTTAGGTTTCGTAGAATTATATTTTATGAAATATTTCTATTAGTTAAATGTCTTTCAGATAAACTTTGCAGACCAATTAGGGTTGAACTCTCTTAAAAAACTGTACTTGATATGACAATATGAAAACAAAAAATTTAATGATGTGGATTAAATGAAAGAAAAGGTACTGTAGCGCATATGTTTAAAACAAGTGTATATATATGTTACGGCAATTTAAACGTTATAACGATAGGGTGATATAATATATATTAAAACTTAAAATAAAAAAAAGAAAAAAAAAAGAAGAAATGATAGCAGTAATTAAAAAACAAATGTTATATATATTTCCTATGCGCTGTTTTATTCTTGAAGCAACAGGTGGTATGATTTTAATTATATTATACAGTATATAGGGGGATGAGAGGCACGCAGAGAAGTTGAAGATTTATAAAGCCTAATTCTTTTGACTTGCAGATATGCTGTTCTGTACATTTTTCAGACATAGGGAAATGGAAGAAGACTCTCTTTCTCTCTCTCGTACACAAATTTGAACCCCTTGCTTTTTCCTGAAATAAATAATTATTACCATAAAAGTTATATTCAAAAAATATTCTTTATTAATTTCTATATTCTTGTTCTAAGTCCATGATGAAATAATAAAAATGTCATTTTGTATATGGATATATAAAAGAACTTACAGAAAGAATCGAAAAACATAGAACACGAAACGATTTGTATAAAAATAAAGGTCAATTTCTAGTCAGCACGCATTATTCAATAGTAGAATTTGTAGAATACATAATTTAAATGGTGAACTAATTACATATCCTCATAGTGATTAGTACGTAAAGAGCATATATCAACAAAAAGGTAACACCTTCTGTTGGTACATTTATAGTCTTTTAAGATAATTCCGATTTTGCACACTTTTCCTATAGTATGATCGCACTTTTCTGACGTTTTTGGGGGAACTTCCTCTTATCCTTTATTTTCAAATGTTTAAAAAAAGAAAGCTTTCTTCGATCGTTCTTAATTAGTATATGTATACATATAAATCCACTGTCAGCTACCATTCTCATTACACCTTTTGGCGTCTTATATAGCAGCAGAATAAATAACTTTGTTTGTTCCTCTTATTACTTGCTCTTTTAGAAGACTTTTTAAAAACAGCAGAATCTTCTTCGCTTTTTCTTTTTAGCTCCACCTCCTTCACCGTCATATGTTGAAGTACTGCTTGGTCTTCTTATACTG